CCGGAAAGGAAAATATCGTAGCAGATGCCCTATCCAGAATAAAAATAGATGAAGAAGGTAATACTGTAAAGGTGGCAATGCTCACAGCATGTACAATAAATTCCCGAGAAACTGTGATAACCGAACTGGGTAAGGATCCTGAATTTAGAAATATTTATGATTATTTAAAGGATCCTGAAAATTTTAGCCACCAAGATATTGTGGCGATAAGAAATAGGGCGGCCCATTACGAACTAATAGATGGTCTATTATTTTATACAAAAACTACGAATTCCAACAACGAATTTCGACCTGTTATCCCAGCTAGTCTTAGATTAAATATACTGCAGGAGTTACACGACTCCCCTTTAGCTTCTCATGCTGGTATTCGAAAAAACCATCCAACGCGTACGCGAAGGCAGTTTATTTTCCTGAGCTGCATAAAGTTAACAAGGGCGTATGTCCAGTCCTGCCCAACATGTCAAGCAGTTAATTATATTAATTTCCGCCCGGCCGGGTTTCTAAATAGCATTAAATCCGAATTTCCAAATGAAATAATTGGCATCGATTTATTGGGCCCTTTCCCAAAAAGTCAGTTAAATAAAAGTCGGCTATCTCCTTGTTATGGTTGATCATTTTAGTAAGTGGATCGAAATTGTTCCCTTAAAACGAGCCTCCGCGAAATTAGTTACTGATTCTATTTTAAATAAATATATTTTAAAATACGGGGCGCCCCTAAAAGTAATATCGGATAATGGTCCTCAATTTGTAAGTAATATATTTGAAGACATGTGCCAAAAACTGGGCATACGTCATTTGAAAATGGTCCCGTATCGGCCGCAATCAAATATAGCGGAACTGGGTCAATAGAAATATAGTGAAAATTATCCGTAGTTATGTTAAAAATTTTCATAAAAGCTGGGATTAACTATGTCAATGAATTAGCTTTCGCCCTTAGGACCGCAAAACATGATACAACGGGCAAAACTCCTGCTGAGTTATTTTTAGGCAGAAAGATTATAACGCCGTTAGATAAATTATTTTATGTTCAACAAAGAGCCCCAGAATTTAAAATGGGCGATATAGAAAAAATAATTAAAGAAGCAAAAAAGAACACTGAAGTAGCACAGAAGAAAACAGAAGCTTTATTATGATATGAAACGACGGGGAGTAACTTATAAAGGTAGGAGATGAAGTGTTAAAAATTAAGCATTCACACTTTCTTCAGCACCAGAAGATAAAACTGCCAAATTTTTATCCACGATTTGAAGGACCATATGTCATAGAAAAAGTAACTCAGGCTGTAGTGGTGTTAAAAGCCAGGAATGGTGAAACATGCACCGCAAACATTGACCAGATAAAACCATTTTATAATCGTAATAAAATGCCAATATTTCAAAGATCTTTTGCAGGATCCGGCACGGCAGGCACTGGCAGGCACAAGCTCCAGAGGTGGAACAACGGCAATCACAAGGGCAAGCCATTAGGAGGCAGGAGCAATTGAAAAGAATGTTTCCCCGTTGGAAAATTGAAGGTAACAAGAAAAAGAAGCCGTTCCACCGACCAGAAAAGAGAGGAGCACGACCACCCCCAGAATGAAGAAGGGAGAAGTACGACGAATACAAAGACAGCCAGGAGAAATGACGGCAATTATAACCCGGCTCCCAAACAGAAGATCTACCCATCGGATAGGAGTCTACGCAGCAAATGTCGACGAATGGATAAAGGAAGACCAGCTGCAGATGAAAAGAAGCAAGAAAAATTTGAACAGCCAGCAACGAGATCCAAGCAGGAACGAGAGAGAGTTGTCCCGGTTCCGCCAAGACCAGCTGCCATCAAACGGCCGAACCGAAGACCACAGGCAGATGGCTAAAAAGAAGGTCTTCAAGGGTGACCGAACTGGAAGGAAAAAGAAAGCTCATAGGAGGAAGGAACCGAAGGGCGAACCCGCACAAGAAGGAAGGATAAACCAGACGCGTAAGTCTTCGCTACCTTCCAGGACTGGGCAGAAAAAAGGATGTCCGAATATCACAAAGATAAGTAAAATTTTATGTTACTTTGCAACCTTAAGTTAATCTTTCATTCTTACTGCAAGTGGCAGAATTCAAGACGTTTTACCTCATCTGAGGTCTACCTTTATCGCCAAAAGGGCGGGAAATGTGTTGTTACCGATTTTGGTATTATGTTTTTCAATTACTCGCGAGTAAAACTAAAGTTGATGTATAATAGGAATGTGTAAATGCATGAATATTGTAAAAGTTATTGTATAAAATTTTATTTAAAAGATTCTGGCAAGAAACAAGTTTTAGTCTGAAAGACTTTTGAAATGTAGTATTTCAATGTAGAAGAATTGGCACTTGCTTGGAAAAGAATTGAAGTTAACAATGTACTACTAATGTATGTTTTAAAATGCGTAAAATTAACGGCATGTTAATATGTCCTTATATACAATGTGAAATGTTATTTTAAAAGTTAAGAAATACTGTGATATGTTAAAAGTGAAAGTAATGCCAAAAATGTTAACCTATTCGTGTGACTGTAAAAAGAGCAAATTATTGTGAATATGTGTTAAAGGTTGAATGAATGTAGTTAGGCTCTCAGACGCTACACTTCAGAGTTAGCCACTTTTCAGAATAGTACCTCAGGGTTTAGAGATGAATATAAGGTGTGTTCTGAGGTCTTGTTATGTTGAATTTTAACACGTTAGTGTTTTGATTGCAGGCGGTAGTGTTTGAACATTGTACATAGACACGTTCGTGTTTTGTGTTTTTCTTACAACACATGTCAAAGAGACACGGGGAGATAATTAAATAACGTCATGAATGAAATAAGAATGTTAAGAGAAATATAAGTATTCATGTTACTTGCCATTTAATTGTGTAACATTTCATTAAACTAGTTTTCCTTCCAGATCTCTGGAAGTAACCAGATTTCAACTAAGAAACCCCGTTTATAGATGCAAGTACAGATGAAAAGTAATTGTCCATGGAGTTAATAATGTAAAAACGATTTTTTTTTTAAATTTCTAGTTTATAGTGAGAAATGTTTGTAAAAGATTGGCCTCGCGTTAGATTCTAGAGCTAAAAGTTTCCAACAAGGTCGTTTATACCTCAGTTTCAAACTAATTAACTCTGGCGGGAAGTATGTAAGGATCCTAAGTTTTACTAAAGTTTATTTTATTTTAAATTTTTACTATCACTTCTTATTTTCTACTTCCGGCCAGAATTAAAAGTTTTAACTTATTTATGCAAATTTGTCTTGCTAACGCCAAGTACTTAAGTTGTGGCTTTTTGACAAGCAATAGAGAGGAAGGAGCTATTAGAAGCAGGCCGCTTGCCATAGTAGTTTTACTCGGTTGCTGGTTGCCTTCAAGGCCAGAGGTTTAGTCCTATTGATAATTTTAAACGTATCGTAGTGTTAGCAGTTCTCTGCACTACATACGGCTTTTTGTTAATATACGGCCAATCTTGGAGTTAGGCACTTGTTTATTAATCCAAAGTTAGTTTAGTTAGATTTTTATTTAATACTTTTTATATTCTTACGTTCAGACCACAAGTGGTTGGTCTCTGTATTCCGAAGTTCCAGAAATCATTGTAAAGAGAGAAAAATAAAGGGTTTCGTATACCTTTCCTGTGTGTATTGTCTACTTCCCAAATTTATTGAACATAGCTTTAGTAAGCTCCCTGTTCTGAGTCAAGACAGTTAATGTTCCCAAAGCAAGTAAGAAGGAACACAGAACCTGATAAAGTATCCACTACTTTGGCAACTGCAGAAACCCTGTCATCAATTTGTTGTTCGATTTGGTGTTGGACGGCATAAACGCTTCCGTCAATTCGTTCCTCCACAGCAGAAACTCTTTTTTCAATGTGTTTACTTTCGACCGAGTCTATCCTACCTTCTATAGCCTCGAATTTGTTTTCTATTACGCAGGTAATTTCTCTTTTCATTTCTTCTTGACCTGCTTTCATCTCGTCTTTAACACATTTCTGTACCGCTTTCATTGCCTTTTTGACAGATCTCATCTCTCCTTTAACGGAATCTCCCATCTTTTCCTGACTAGCATCTATCTTTTCTTTCATTTCTTGTTTAAAGGCAGCTTGGCCAGCTTCCATCTTTTTCTGACCAGATTTCATCTTCTCTTTAATTTCTTCTTTAAAAGAGGCAAAGGCTATAAACTGCCTTAACTGTTTTTCCATCGCTCTTGTTACTGCCATTGAAATCCCACTTCTGACACCAAAAATTGTTGCGTGCGTACAGATTCGTCACGAAATGAATGCACAAGTCCGATGAAAAATGAACAAAATTTATTATTATCACAACGAATATGCTTAAATTTCCTCATATTCGGGCAATATTACAATATTTCACAATAGTTATCTTTTTAACTACAGAAACGTTCCAGAGAACTTAATTCAAAACAGCTAAAGAAAGCTAATCCGCGAATTCGCTACAGTCAACAAGAGCAGTTTTCTAAGCAAACTCTTAAAACAACAAACTATCTAATTCATCGAATTGAGAGGTTTTCCTCTTTTTATAAGATTTTAAATCGCGCGCGAGAATTTTCTGGAACTTTCTCGAAATTAAAAAGAGATATTTATTTATTAAATGTTAAATGCACGTGTTCTTGTATTTTTAATTTTCCGGCTTAGCTTTCCTTTAACATTCGTCACGCGCTGCACCGCGCGGAGAATAAAACAATTTAATTTATAATTCAACTAACATTAGCTAGTTAAAATGTATTATATATATATATATATATATATATATATATATAATAAATTTTTATTGAAATTGCTGTTTTTTTAATAACGTTGTTCTGCAGAGTAAAATTCTGTGCAGTTTTTTAAATTTAATGTACATTTAAAAGCCAAAACGAAGGTTGTTCGCGTAGCGGCTAATAATAATAATAATAATAATAATAGCAGCAATTTCAATGTACAAACAAAGGTCAATAAGATATTTTAAATAGTCTTCTGACCTACTTATTGCAACAAATTTACTGATATCTTAATGTGTTTTAGGAAAAATCTAGCATTCTACAAGCTCTTAAGGAAAAGGCACAATACTGCTATGAAAAGCTTAATAGTGTCGAAGGTTTATCCTGTAGTAAAGTAGTTGGAGCTATGTTCGTATTTCCGAAGATTGAACTTTCAAAGAAAGCTTTAAAAGAAGCTCAGGTAAGTTATGTTCCTCGATTATTAAATCACTGAAGTTCTCATTACCTGAGAATTGGGAAGTTTTAAAAAGCATTCAAGTAAGCAATGCCCACTAGGCCTAACGCGTGGGATAGCTTCGTAGGAATTTCAAAAGGAAAACAGATAATATTCACGACACGCCATAGGAAAAAATCACGAAAATATGTAAATCATTAGCCGTTCGCCAGGATTTAGACCTGGGTCTGACCAGTGTTCAGCAGCCTTATTTGACTGGTGACATACATAAGCAGATAGAAGAGACAAAAGTAACTCTTACCATTAAAAACCTAAATAACTTTTACTAGAAACTAATTTATGGAAATTTAACAATAAACACATTAAAGTACACCGCGCAAAAAAGGAGGGAACAGTTCTATATCTTCCGTTCTACTCGGCCGATCGGCAAAACTCAAATTGCGTTTTCTGTCTGGAAAGCGCGACTTATTTATATTATTTTAACATTAGATTTATATTATTTTAACACAAAATGGGACTTTTTCTGAAATAAGATTTTTTTTTAATTTATTTATTTATTTTATTTTATTTATTTATTTATTTATTTTTTTATTTTTCGATTCTACGACTCAAATTATGACTAAATATTAATTTTGGTGCAAAATTTATGGAGAAATTCAACAATTTAACTGGGCCACTTTTTTTCAGTTCACGCCAAGAGTAATTCACTTTGCGAACTTCTTAATATATAGCAACCTATTTTTCTTTCCCTTCCATTGTGCAGGAGCAGAAAAAAAGTCACATCGTTCCTACCTTTTTACATTGTGGATGAGCGAAAAAAAAGTTACTTTGTTCCAACCTTCAAATAACTTTAACAAAAAGCCTAAAATGCATTTGATGTCATTATAATGACAAACTTCAAATAAATTCACGTATACCTTCGGAAATTTTAAATATAAAACTCTAATTTTTTGCAGGTATGCTTAGAAATACATCTTCTTTAGGATGATGGTAAAAATTTTATAGGTTATAATTCAATATTTTTGAAAATTTTCTAAAATTATTTAAAAATATAAATTTTAAAAATAAATCATAAAAAATGAGAGGGGGAAGATAATGGGAGACATAGAACTGTCCAAATTTTTTTTCCGCAGTGTACGTATATGCGCGTATTAACTGAATGCATGATGAACTGAAATTTTCTATTTGTTTGTATTTTCTATTTGCACGTATATTTATGTACGTATATGCGTAATGAACTGAATGCACGATGAATAAAAATTTTCCATTTGCATGTATATATATACACGTATGTTTATCTTTATATATATACAAGCGGCTAAAGTGTGTGTCGCCGATAGATTATTGTTGCCACTAGGAAAAATGAGCGTTTAAATTAACGTTTTCGCAGTTTTTAATTACTATCTCGGCCGATTAAAGTCGTACGAAGATGAGAACGGTATCGATGGATTCGGAGAATTTTTTGGAATCCGAGGATACGCGTCTCGAATTTCAGCTCCGCGCCGTTCCGTAGATATTCGAGAAAAAATAATTTGGCACGTAGCCAAATCCCTCCAATAGGGAAAAACATAAGAAAGAAAGTGCAAAATGTAGGGAAAACGTAGGGGAAAATTAGTTTTTAATTAATATCTCGGCTAATTAAATTCCCACGAAGACGCGAAGGGTCAAAATGGCGTGCCACGGACCTGCAGAATCCAACGGTGTGCTTCACTAAGCCCGGGAGCCAGCCGTTTCGGAGGAGATGATGTTTCTTCCCCGCCATATATATAAGCGGCTTCAGTGTCTGTTTGTCGCCGATAGTTCATTGGTTGCTTGCGTAACTGTACTAGCCAATAGAGCGAAGTTGCCACGGTACAGGTTTGCCGTTTCAAATGAGACGTAGACAATTTCCTATAAAACTTGCCTTTACTATGACCATCCATAAGTCTCAGGGCCAAACGCTTAAGGGGACTCATACACCTTAAACACCTTATGATCTTCGAATATGCGACTGTTGCCAGAATTGGGATATTTTATTTATTTTAAAAGCAATTACTTCCAACTTTTTACAGCTGACTACATAATACAGCTGCTTTGGAAAATAGTAACTAGAAAGCTTGTGTTGCCACAAATATTTTTGTAATTTGATCCTCTTTGTGATAAAATATTTCGCCATGTTTCCACCTTGCGCGCATGATATTTTAAAAATGGCTAATGGTACATACTTGAAATTTGATGGAATTCTTTATATGAGCACTACTTTCTAACTGAACCAACAATCTGATGAATATTTTAATATTGAAAAATTTTATGGACGAAAACATTAAAAATTTTGTTAATAAAATACATTTTATAAACTTAACTCAAAATAAAATAAAAATTTAACATGAAATTTTTAGAATTTTAGGTTCACAGTAGTTTCCAAATGTTATAAAAGCTATATATTAAATATGGAATTAAATTATGAAAACAGAATGTTTTAAACTGTGCGCGCAAGTTGGAAACATGACGAAAAAAATGTTGTCACAAAGCGGATTAAATTATAAAAATATTTGTGGCAACACAAACTTTCTGATCACTATTTCAGAAAGCAACTATATTATGTAGTAAGCTGTTAAAAGTTGGTAGTAATTGCTTTTAAAATAAATAAGTTATCCCAATTTTTGCAACAGTCACTTATTCGAACATCTTATGGGTTTTAAGGTGTATGAGTCCCCTTAAGCTTGTTGGCATTTTTTTACCTGAGTCTGTATTTGGACACGGCCAACTTTATGTTGCCTGTTCAAGAGTTCGTGAAAGAACGGACGTAAAATTAAAAATAATGGATGGTCCTCTGCAAGGCGAGCTTAAAAATGATGGAAAGATCTACACAAGAACTGTTGTGCACAAAGAGACCTTTGACATGCGAATTAACATTTTATTATTTAAATCACCTTTATTTATTGAGCTAGCGCTGGCTCTTAAGAAATATACCGCCAGTGGTTTCCTTCATTGCACTCTACTTTAAGCAATTAAGCAAGTAGAAGAGGGAAACCCCGTGGGGCAGTAAGCAAAGAGGCGTCCTCGCCACTTGCCCTGGGTAATTCAGCTTGAATTAGCAGACACCTTTGCACAAATAATTTTAATTACAATTTATAATATCTAGAACAGCGTTCATTTCGTATGACCGCCGGGGTTTCTAGTGTATGTATATGCGTATTGAACTGAATGCATGATAAACTGAAAAGGCATAATGAACTGAAATTTTCTATTTTTATGCATGTATATGCGTAATGAACTGAAAATGCATAATGAACTGAAATTTTCTATTTTATATATTTTATCTGCACGTATGTATATATACGTATATGCACGCACGTATATGTATGTTTGTATGTATATGCACGCATATGTTCATGTATGTATATGTATCTGTGCATATGTGTGTACGTATATGTGTATGTAATAATTATAGATGTTTAAGTGTAACAATCTAGACGATGTTCATGTGTAAATTCATAAAGAAGTAGTGGTCGATAGTCAGCATTTATTTTCTGGTTGACATAGATGTATACAGCTTAATTAGTGCAGTCAGTGCATCCATTCTTGATCGCATCATTGTGATATGGTGCTCGTTGTTGAATTATTAGTAACACCATTGATTTGTCGACCACAATTGTTGAAAGAAAAGTAAGCAGACACATTCAAGGGAAAGGAGAATGGTTGCCAGAGCAGCAAACGATAGAAGGAACGCGACGAACCTAGCGATGAATTTCTCCCACCCTTGAACTTTCAATTTTTCGAAAACGTCATAGTATACGAATCTACTCCTCCAAAAATATACAATTTTTTTTAATGATTTAACTGATAATATTATAGGAAAACAGTTAAAATATTTTTTAATAACGAGATTCGGCGATACAGCGTCATTTGGCAATATCCAAAATTTTCAAAAACTGAGTATTTAGAATTTTGAAAGCTGTCTAGGTGACCGAGTCTTGCAACAGAAGTATAAAATCTAGATATATATGTACAAAGAAGAATGCCTGTTTGGTGTGTTTGTTCGCGATTTATGCTATAATTATCTAAACGATAATTTTCGCCGTCATTTTTCCGAGTGGTAACAGTCTCGCACGCTGGAGATAAAAATCAGCATTATTTCGGGAAGTGTTGTCACTGCTCGCTTTCAAATTGTAGAGTTTGTTACTAAAAAATTTCTAAGTTTTACTATGAAATAAAAATAGCATTGCCAAACATTAAGTACATTATTCCCAATTCCAAAAATTCGTGGGAAGCCATTTTGACTGTTCCCATCTTCGTACGACTTTAATTAGCCGAAATATTAATTAAAAAATCTGAAAACACTAATTTTCGCCCTTATTTTTTCCGAGTTACTGCAGTCTCTCGCATTGGCGATTAAAAATGCTTTATTTTGAAAAGTGTCGCTACTGGTCGCTTTTCAAATCGTAGAGTTTTTTTAATCAAAAATTTGTAAATTTTACAAAATCTGTATATAAAAAGAACAATATTTATGTGTTTTTTCGCTTTATTGATTTCTGATCAATTATGATCCATTTTTTGCCACATTTAATCGACTAAAATTGAATATAGGTGAAAGATTGGTTGGAACTTGAGCTTCTACGACGATTTGTAGAAAGACGAAACGATTTGTAGAAGGACGAAAATCATTAAAAAGTGCTTGCCATTGTTGCTGATATAATGAGAGAGAATTAGTTTATTTTTCTATGAAAATTTTTTCTATGGGTTCCATATCGCATCACAGTGAAAACTGTATGACTATGAATCGCTTTGTTTGCAACGTTATTAGAGAAGGATTACAGCGGTATCGTCCTCTCTGTTGTTAAGATGCATTACTCTCAATCTAACTTAACCGAAGTGGTTTTCCTCATGAACTTTCGCTAGTAATGAATAAAGAGATAAGTGAGGGATATACTTTGGTAGTCAGCGCACGTTGCTTTAAAATATAAAGTTAAACATAATGTGAAATTGAATCTCTTAAAAATTAGATATAAGAAATGTTTTATTGCGATACGGACAGTTCTCATTTTCTATGATAATAAAAGTGCAATTTTCGGACTGAATGCGTAATACAAACAAGATGCAGTAAATAATTACCAAAGCAACTATCTATTTACACCAATCGCAATTAGCGAAGTACATCGACTTCGCAAGTTTTTACAACTGTAAGACTATTTACAACCGAACGCTAAAACCACCGAATACAGGCATTTCGAAGTGGATTCAAATCATGACGAATGGCCTGCCGAAAGAAACCATCTCCTTAGGTAACTTGTAAATGCGAGTTCTTTGTCTTGAAAGCCCTTTTAAAGTAAATTTTGTTTCGCCATATTTTGGAGCTCTTAATAATAAAAATGCTGCTGGTCCACTAGAGAACTATAAAGTCTCTGAACACTTGGTAGTTCCACCCTGAATTCGATTACAGGCGACATGGGCTGGCTACATGTGCGTTTTCGTGGTTTTCCCATGTGTAACGTGCATACGAGCCATTATCCCTCAGAAAATCCTCCACGAAGGTATCCTTTCCTTTAGGCACTTTAGATTACGGCAAAGCACATTCCCTAGTGTGCTTTGCCGTAATCTCAATAAACCAAACCAATAAAAATGCTATTAATTTTCAAACTGGCTAAATTTTTTTGGATACATTTTGTTTTGTTTTTTCGTCTTATATTAAACCGTACCCTCCTCCCAATAATCCCATAATACATGATTAAGACTTTGGTATTCTTTCCCCAGTTTATTTCAGCAAACATTTCTGAATTCGCATTCAGTTGAAACGAGGACTTTTCCCCATTGCTTCATCGTCCGTAATTTTCCTTACATTTCAGAAATCAGATTTCTCAGTTAAATATATTCTTGGGTGTTTCTGATTACGGCAATGTCTAAGAGGAGAGATGCCTTCGTGGAAGACATTCTAAGGGAAACTGGCTCGTATACACGTTACGCATGGGAAAACTGCGAAAACCCCAAGCAGCTAGCCCGTTCGCGGGATTCGAACCTCGGACCGAACTAGCAGTGTTCAGCGACTTTACCGCTCGGCCGCTGGTGGGCCCCATTTTGAATGAATTGAATGAATTTGCTTGGACGCACTCTCTTCTGGATCAGCGGTCCTCAACCATTTGGCTAACGCGTACCTTCTAAACAAAAACTGAAAATCTTTAGTACCACCACGACATTTTACAATTATTATTTTTCAGTCTCTCAATAGAAATATTAAAAAAAATATATTTTGCTCGGCCGCTGTTGAGCCAAAAAATACTCTTGTCTATTAATTTAAGGTAAAGTCTATTAAATTCGAATCTCCAGTTCTTATAATTTCAAACAGTATCCAAATACACTGTACGTATTCATACCTGCAAACAAAGACAATGAATTACGATTAAAATTCCTAATTCAGTTTCTCAATAAATTTTTATCTTCAGCAATCTTTTAAATTTTTAGTGCTTAGACTGTAAGCATAAAAAACTTTCACCTTAAAAAGTATTAACGGGTACTTACGGAAAATCCCGGCGACGATTTTAGCCTATTAAAGAAAAAACGCCAAACTAGCGATTTTTCGCCAAAAATGGAAAAGTCTTCTTCAAATACACTAGGTTTGATGTAACTTTGATTACACGTGTTATTTATTATACTTAAGTAAAAGACTTCTTTTTTTCCCCTGTATTACGCATTTTCGAAAAAAAAAAAAAAAAAAAAAAAAAAAAAAATGCGAAAATACTAATTGCTAAACCTAACAAAATAATATTAATAAATAAACCTAGCGAAATAACCTAGGTAATAAAAACCTAGCGAAAATAATTGCTTTTACAATATATCTCCTTAAAAAAAAATGGGAAAATTTTAATTGAAAAAATAAATTTAAATAAATGATAGTATAATAAATACATTTGAAAGAAATATAAGAATAGAGCGTTTTTTCCTTGTATTTAGTACATGATGTTTTTTTTTTTTTTTTTTTTTTTTTTTTTTTTTTTTTGGCGCGATTGCCGCCTTCCGCAAGTACCTATTTATGTTACTTTAATATTAAATTAAATAATAAAAATATTGCTTTCACCTTAAAAATATTAACATAACTAAAGCGTGAAGAATTTGTTCATGTAAACTCAATTTGATTAAGACTTTATAAATTGATTATAAAGATTTTGATTCAAAAGACAGACTGGAATGTTCGCAAGACGAAATTTGATGCGAGTATTTTTCTCGACACAAAATTATCGAAGAGAAATATTCTGAAGAGCAAACCTGTGAAAAAAGTTTGCCTTTGGTAACAAAAACGTTTTGTACCTTTATTTCATCCACAGGAATTTAGCTACTATATATTACTTTATATTTTTCTAAACTTGCATAAATTTGGACATTCAAAATTTTCTGAACTGTATTAATTCTCTTTTTCATAACACAGAGACGGAGACAAAACCCTGATGAATTTTACTCAATGGAATTAGTCGAAACTGCTGGGGTATGTGTATTACCAGGACACCTTTTCGGCCAAAGACCAGGAACACATCATTTTCGGTAAACACATTTATTCAAACTACAAAATATTAAACCATTTCTTTAGCAGTTATTTTTTCTAATTTAGTAAGTGATGAAAATTATGCCGAGGGAGAAGAGAGGAATTTATATGTCTATTTTTTCTTTTATCTAGATTAACAATCCTGCCGCAGATGGACAAACTAAAAATAGTCATAGAACACCTTCTTGAGTTTCATCTGAAATTCTTAGAGAAGTACAAGGACTAAATTTGGTATCAGATTCAGGACCAAATTTGGTTTCGAGGACTAAATTTTAATGCAAATCTTTTTAAATACCAGTGTAGAATGAGTTATTCAAGACATAATTCTTGTTCTTTTATTATTAATTATAGAAATAAAGAGAATGAGTGGGCTTTAGTTTCTGTAAAGAGCAATTCTTGTAAAAATCACTTACGCGGATTAGGTTTCCAAAATTTTCTCTATATTCACTCTCAAACCTCTTTCACAGCAGCTTCGCACCTCTACATCCCCTGTGAGGACATCAGCGAGCCTGCTATTATGCTTAAGCTGTTATTGCGTGTCCTCTGGAGGAAAAATCGGTTCATCTTTGGATTATGGTAACTTGACGATTTTTCGCGAAAATTTGGCGACCAACTCAGCTACAGCAACCCTCTATTTTTTCTTTCCGCCGCCATTTTGTCTTCACGAAGTATAGACATGTTTCTTTTCTTTTTATTTACCCAACACTTTTTCCAACAATCTACTAGCCGAATTACACTTATGCTAGAAATTTTATCTAACAAAACTGCTTAATCATGACAAATATTCACTGCAAAATTGGGAAAAAGTGCACAATAGCAAACTCCTTGCGCGTTTTTCAGAATAACACATACACATAAACCATGTACACGTCGACTTATTTTTCCTTAAAAAAAATCCCAGAATTGCACAAAAATGGCATTTCGCACACTCTTCACTATATCCATGTACACTGCTTTTTTCTCAAAATTAGAAAATTTCACGAAAATACATGACAATTTTCTGAATCTTTAAACCCGGTAAAAAGAACATATATGAAATTACCTGATCGCGAAAAAGTATATACCCTTTCCAAATATGAACATTTCCACGTATAAATAAATAAAATATCCCAAAACTTTTACCTCTAAATTATCTATTATATAATAAACGTCACCAACGAATTCATACCGCAAACATCACAATTACTTAGTGTCAAATATTTAAATTATTTCCTGCACGTTTACTTCAAACTTAAACGTATACCAAATTCCTACAAACATAAAATTCACAAAAATAACTATCATTAATTAAAATATCACTAAAACCATGTACACGTCGACTATTTTTACTTAAAAAAAACATCCCAGAATTGCACAAAAAGGCATTGCGCACACTCTTCACTATATCCAGTACCCTGCTTTTTTCTCATAAATTAGAAAAATTTCACGAAAATGCATGACAATTTTCTGAATCTTTAAAAACCCGGTAAAAAGAACATATATGAAATTACCTGATCGCGAAAAGTATATACCTTTCCAAATATGAACATTTCCACGTAAATAAAATAAATAATATCCAAAAACTTTACCTCTACATTATCTATTATATTACAAACGTCACCAACTAATTCATACCGCAAACATTATAAATGGTTACAAAATACTTATGTCAAATATTTAAATTATTTCCATGCACGTTACTTCCACTCTAACGTATACCAATTCTACAAACATATAATTCACAAATAACTATCATTTAATTAAAATATAATTAAATTCAAAACACTACTTAAAATATAAATAAGCACATACATTAATTAATAAAAATTAGCTTCAATACTAATTACTTTAATCTAAACTTGGTAATAACAATTTTTCCAATAAATACCAATTAACTTTCTTCCACCTTACATTTAGAACAATGCATAAAAATATCCTCAATAATTAAAAATACTAACTTACCTAATCTTCTTCAGAATCTTGCTTACATGGTGGATACACTTTTATTATGGATTCAATAAAATTATTGAACGATTTTTTCTGCGAATTTTTCCTCCACACTTCCTCCGCTAAATAAAAAGCAAAATTCTCTTTATCACAATGCCACGGAATGTCGCTTTTTATAGCACTCCACGTGCACTCTATTGTATTGGTATGTGCACCTGTTTCCGGATCTTTAAAATAATATTAGACAGCTCCATACAATCCGAAAATTATTCAACATTACTTCACACAACACACAATGAAGCTTAATACAAAATAATATACTGCCACAGATATTTTTCCAAATTCCCCCCCCCCCCCCCCTTTTCCGATTAAAGAACTGTAATTCGTCCATTAATATCACATGACATATCTCATGATCTCTCATTTCCCTCACACAAAATAATGCTAATCAGGAACTGAGTCAATGAATATTCTTTGACTGAGTACTACTCACATTATTACCAAAGTCCTAGGTAGTAACCTTTATCGCCTCCAAAATGTCGCCAAACTAGCAGTTACCATATTCCAAAGATCAGCCGAAAAATCTACTTTCTGTGCACCACAGTCAAAGCTTGAAAAGGCTGGACAGGTAACACAATTTAAACAAATGTTGCTGAGTCGACGACATATAAAGCCATTCAAGGAAACACATTGAAATCTTGTCTTGCTACAAGTAGTTAAAGCTTAAGAGTTGCCGTGCATAAATTATAGGGTTAGTTACATAAATTTCGTAGAAACACAAACTGTACCAAATATTATAGGAGCCTTTAACAGAACATATGGAAGTATCAAAATAATAAATAATTCACAGATATATTTACATACTATTTACAAAATAATGCGGCTAATCTTTGGAATACTGGTAGTTTGGCGACATTTTGGTAAGGCGATAAAGGTTACTGGCTAGGACTTTATCAGTGTACATGGATAAAGTCAAGAGTGTGCGCAATGCCATTTTTATGCAATTCTGGGATGCTTTTTCAAGTGAAAATAGGTCGACGTGTACATGGATACCGTGTATGTGCAATTCTTAAAAACGCGGCAAGCAGTGGGCGATTCTGCACTTTTTCCAATTTCGCACCTAATCTTCGTCATGATTAAGCACTTTTGTTCCATAAAAGTTCTAACATAAGCGTAGTACGGCTAGCAGATTGGGCTAATCTTTGGAATATGGTAACAGGTAGTTTGGCGACATTCTGGTAAGGCGATAAAAGTTACTAGCTAGGACTTTAGCAGTGTACATGGATAAAGTCAAGAGTGTGCGCAATGCCATTTTTGTGCAATTATGGGATTCTTTTTAAGTGAAAATAGGTCGATGTGTACATGGATACCGTGTATGTGCAATTCTTAAAAACGCGGCAAGCAGTGGGCGATTCTGCACTTTCTCCCAATTTCACACCTAATCTTCATCATGATTAAGCACTTTTGTTCCATAAAAGTTCTAGCATAAGCGTAATTCGGCTAGCAGGTTGTTGGAAAAAAATGTTGAGGAAAAAAAACATGCCTTTACTTCGTAAAAACAAAATGGTGTCCAAAAAAAAAAAAAAAAAAAAAAAAAACTAGCTGGTTGCTGTAGCAGGGTTAGTCACCAAATTTTCGCCAAAAAATCGCCAAGTTACCATAATCCGAAGATTAACCGCAGATTGTTGTAAAAAAATGTTGAGTGAAAAAAAAGCCTTTACTTCGTGAAAACAAAATGGCGTCCAAAAAAAAAATAAAACTAGCAGGATTGGTCGCCAAAAAATCGCCAAGTTACCATAATTTAAAGGTTAACCAATAATGCTTTAAAACCGAACTACGAGAAGACAATACCATCGACAAAAACCCATCCTGCACGTCATAACTATGAAACATTTATCAGTGATACAGCAGGACAGCTGAACTTTATGCCGACGGCTCAAAGGCTGAGAACGGTACAGCCAAAACCTTCTGCACAAAAATGGGGGGTTGAATCCTGGTACACGGTGCACACGGGATTTGGCGACTTTTCACGACATCGTGTTGAGCAGTAAACGAGTCATTTTGGTGTTGGGGACAATTTTCAAAATCGCGCCAAGGCCATACCGTATACTAGTGTTTTAGCAAATGTGGAACAACTATATTATTCAATGGACAACTAGACTGAGAAATCTTAATTCTGTCTTTCAAGCATCAGTTTAAAATGCCCAAATACCAATAGATAGCACCAACAAAAGTTTCTATTAAGCTCCTGACGCCGGGTTTCTGGGGCACCAAAGAATTATCGCGTTGCACAGTGCGGATTCCGGACGATACCTGAATAGTCCTAGTAAGCCGTCCGGGTGTCCGGATCCACTCTCTTTGTCACCTGTCTTTCAAGCAAAATCATTTGCAGTTCTCAAAGTAATAAAGTGGACTCTTGGTGAAAACCTTAGAACTGTCATAAGCACAGACAGCCATGTCTAGTATTTAAGCTATTAGTGGTGGCGCCTCTAAAAGCGAACTGATAGGGAACTTCTCAGTAGCAGTGGTCTCATCTCCTAGCGATGGATCAAAGCCCACACAAGGTTTTAGGGAAATGAAAAGGCAGACATATTGACAAAGGTAGCAGCAACATACATATTCCCGGTTACGGCATATATTCCTAACCTGCAATCAATACTGAAGAATAAATTTAAAATAAATGCCGACAACAGATGGCAAAAGCAATGAAATACAGAGACAACGGGTGTTTTTTCCAGTAACTATTTTCCAGTAGTTTCTTCAGCCCTAAAATCAGAAAGCTGCATCTATACGAACTTCACACTAAACACTCTCCTATATATCGACCGCAGAGACTCGAACCAATGCTTCTGTGGTAAAGCAAGCAATTTGAAACATTTTACAGTACGTAAATTAATTGAAAATATTGCTACAGAAATTGGATGCTGTACTTTTACCATAATGGCATTTTTCGTTTTTTTATTTAAAGAAACAGCCAAATAAAAATATATTGTGGCAAAGATTTCGGTACTCTTCTGCTATCCCTAAAATCAGAAAGCTTTATTCTGAAACAATTGTACACTGTACATTCCTACATCGACCGAAGAGACTGGGACCGATGCTTCTGTGGTAAAGTAAGCAATTTGAAACATTTCACAATAACTAAATTATTTGATAAATATTGCTGCAGAAATTGGATGATGTATTGCTATCATTATGGCATTTTACATTTCGGGAAGCAGCCAAATGAAAAAATAATATTGTGGCAAAAATTTCGGTACTGATTGATCCAGAAATGCATGTATGGATGTATATATGTAAGCACGGATGTGTGTATACACATATATTCACATACATACATACACATACGTTCATACATTTCTGAATCCGGTCTCGATAACAGAACAGTACGAAAATTTTATTTCTATCTCTTATATAAAAGATTCTTTAACACTGATTACCAGACA